GACCAGATCATGTGACCAGATCATGTGACCAGATCATGAGACCAGATTATGAGACCAGATCATGTGACCAGTCCAATCACAGCCTTTGCAGTTAGAAAACCTCGTTTTTCACATTGTGATATCACAAATGCAATTAAATGTTCAGCCCTAATTCTGGGTAGATGACATGACATTACTAACAGAGGTCAGCTTATCATCCATCTATGAAATTAGTCTCTTGATTGAATGACAGGGCAGCCAGTCTGACGCCCCGTTTACATAACGTTAAACATTCGGCCATTCAAGGTCAAGGTCAAGGTTTCTTTATTTGTCTTTCCACCACATCTGTTACATGTGGTGGAACAAAATTATGTACACAGGGTCCCAGTTACATCCAACAAAAGTATAAACTGTAAAGAAAAACAGTAATAAGATATGAACGAAGAAAAATGCTAAACTAAGAATACACTAAGCACTCATAGTATAAAAACAATACGCCTTAACAACAGCAGCACCAACATGAGTTTGTGTGAGCAGATGAGTATGAATGAACACAGCAGCATGAAATAAATCAGCAGCATGTGATCAGCAGCATGAGATCAGCAGCACATATCAACAATCAAGTGGCATTACAGTGATTTTTTCCCACAATGATCATGCTGATTAGGGAGTCATGAGTTTAACAGCTTCAGGGTTCATTTACAGACAACAGCCTCTCTAAACTCAAGGTTTCTGAGTCCAGGTCTCCGAGTGGAGATTTTCAGGGAACCCCCCACGGAGGAGCGAAATGCTCCACATGCACACTCCAGGCGGCTGCTGTCCAAAGTTTTCTGCTCTAACAACAGTTAAAATAAATCTAACAACCGTTTACTATGGTTTATGATGGTTTCCTGACTGATAACATGCACTTGGATTCTAATATATGTTGTATTCTTTTAAAATATCAAAACCTTTAGTCATCGTAGCGTTCATCTGTTACGGTACATTCAAGCTCAAGAGGTGGTAAAGTTGTAACTCACCAAGTTTGCAATGATATAGTGGTAGCCCTTCACATGTTTCCCTATGGTGATCACCTGCAGGTAAAATAAATAAAGTTTTTGTCAATCAAAAACATTTTTAATTCAAAACTCTCTAAAGAATTGTGTTTAAAATCATTCTGTCCACTGTAAACATCTTAGAGAAATATCAAAAAAAGAAACCACTCTGGGAGAGTGGTGGCGCAGAGGTTAGAGAAGAGGGACGTGTGACTGGAAGATCAACAGTTCAACTCCCGGTGCCGACAACATCAAAAAATGTGGGTGGGATAGATGAAGCACCCACACCTGTCTCCACCCTCATTTGCCCCACTCTGGGCCCTTGAGCAAGGCCCTTAACCCCCATGCTCTGCTCTCCTGGGCGCTCTAGATGCAGCTCTGCTCCACACAGAGGCGGTGGTAGCTCCATGGTCTGTGGTTGAGTCAGGAAAGACATCCGGCCCTTACTTCACACAGACTCTCCCACTGGTACATTTTCATCTTTAAATCACTTCTTGGTCTGGACATTTCAGGCTTCAAACATAAAGATATAAAATTTTAATTTTTTGTGAAGAATCAACAACAAGTGGGACACAATCTTGAAGTGGAATGAAATGTATTGGATGTGTCAAACTTTTTTAACAAATGAAAAACTGAAAAGTGGGGTGTGTAATATTATTGGGCCCCCTTGCGTTAATCCTTTGTAGCTCCGCCTCTTGCTGCAGTTCCAGCTGCAAGTCTCTTGGGGTATGTCTCCATCAGTTTTGAACATGGAGACACTGAAGTTCTGCCCATTC